TTATTATTCGTAAGGATTGCAACAAAATAATTTATAATTTAGATTTTTGTCACTTCGATTCTTACTTTAAAAGATATTTTTACGTGTATTTTACCGGTTTGAGAATAATTTTAATGGATTAATAAAATTTTTGCGATTAAAATGACATCAAACACAACATAAATCGGATAATTTTTAATTACACTAATAATAAAAATTTTGATTACATATAACTAAAAATTATCCGGTTTATATCGTGTTTGGTATCATTTTAATCGCAAAAAATCGTTAATGCATTAAAATTATTTTCAAACAGGTAAAATGCAAAATATAAAAGTTATATTTTCTATGGTAATACGACATATATATTCGTGAAATACTATGTATAATAAAGGAATAAGACCCTCAGTAAGATTAAGTGTAAGAAATTTCGGAACTCTTTGACGATACATCATTTCGCTTGCTCTTATTTACTCATTCTCGCTCTCGCTTTCGATGATGGAGACCTTTACTTATCTGTAATAATTTATTTATAATATTCAAAAATCTTATGTAATAAAAATTAAAACATTTATGTTTTATCTTAAAAAGTAATTTTTTGAAAATGATTTTAATGAAAAAGGCATCTTATGAAAAACGGCGGCGTGACCCCTCTCAGGTATCTCTCTGACCTAGCCCAATGCGGCCCACACCACCTCCTGTTAAAGCCATAGACATATAGAATGGACTGAGCGTTGCGATCTTAGACATAGTATATCTAGACCGAGTGTTGAGGAGTGGGGGCCGATGCCCACGTAGAAAAGAACATACTCTGTTTCGTGCCCCTTGCGTTCTCTCTCGCTCGCACAGAGCATAGCGCTCTCTTTCGTCATGCTACGTGCGAGCGAGAGAGAACGCAATCTTTCTACAGCGGGCGCGCGTTTGTTTATCTCGCAATGCTCAATCCAATCTATATATCTATGGTTAAAGCAGATATGGGATTATGGGATTTAGGAATTTAGGGATTTTTTAAAAATAGAGAAGCAAAAAAAAAAACATGCTACGCGCGAGCAAGAGAGAAAAGAATCACAGAAACAGAACAGATTGTATCCTTTTCTACCTCGGCCCCCATTCCTCAACACTTCGTCTAGATATACGATATACTCAAGTCCATGGCCGGTATTCATAGTCCGTTCTTATATCCAAGATCGTCTTAAGTGTGGTCTTGGGTCGTCTTAAGATCCCATTCAACCAATGAAATGGCCGCATAGTATCTTAAGATCGTACTTAAGACGATCTTGAATATAAGAACGGACTATGAATACCGGCCCATGACTAAAGTGTCATTTTATCTTTGTTATTTGCTGAAAGTTGAACAAGGACAGAGAACGAATGCTAAAAACATGCTCCCCATAGAGTTCCTAGAAGATATTCTAGGGACTCTAGCTCCCCGAACGCACCGTATGCCCGTATCAGACTACGCATTGAAAATTGAAGATTAAAGATTGAAATTTGACTAATCAGGACAAAAGGGATTAAAATTTCTTTGTCCTGATTGGTCAAATTTCAATCTTCAATACGTAGTCTGATACGGGTTTAAGCCTGCGTTCGGAACTCCTATTCGTAGAATAAAATAGCGTTTTTGAATGCAATCCTGAAGGCAACTAGGGAAATAATCACTATCCGCGTATCGCGATAACGCTACATCACTGACTGCTCTCTTCCCGCCTTATTTTTTCAGTCTGTGTCAAACTTTGTCAAACTGGCAATACTGGCGACTAGCGTTACAAACTCTGTACTCTGTGATATATTCTGCTCGCAGGAATACGTGTAGCTATCGATAAGGATCAAGTACAAAGGACGATAACACGAGTTTTACAGTCGATCACAATGCAAGATACGAAGAAGCTACAAGAATTCATGGAGCTGGTCGGTCGGCTGAAGGTGAGATTGATACTGAGCTCGCAAATTATTGAAATACATTTTTGTATGACACATATGTTTCATAACGACTTCGTAACATCAGCTGTGCACAATAAAAAGAATTGGCGATATAAAATCGCTCTTTCTCTCCCTCTCTGTCAGTTATTTGAAAATTTCCACGGAAATTTAATGGATTTTGAAAGAAAAAGAGATAGAAAAATCTGTATGTTTCATTGTCAGAGGAACAGATATTCAAGAACTACAAGAAGAGCTTATGTCTCACATGTTGTCATATGCCAAGTCTCTTTGTCGCTTCCTCGTGTCTAATGTCAACATATTGGCCGTGTTCCGAGAATCGCTGTCAGTATTGGAAATCTATAGTTCACCTTACATATATTGTAGATTTTCAGTACTAGCAATGAAATTTGGAACACGATCAATTTTCATGACAAGAAGCATATTGCAATTATATAACGTTTCTCTCGTTCTCGATAATTGCAACGAAAAAACGCGCTTTTCTTTTATTGCTGTCTTCATTTTGCCATGAATGCTATGATGTTTCACGTTTTCGAAATGTCAACGGCCATTCTCGAATTTAAAAGTCATAACAGCTTGTATACCATTGGTATAAATATAAACCCTTAAAAAATAGTTAAATAACAAAAATATATATAAAGGAAAAAATAGTATTTTGACAAAGAAATTTTTATAGGAAATAACTAATTTGATAATGTAATGTTTTCTATCAATTATATTTTACCATATTTGTATGTTTCTGTTTTTCATATATATTTATATAAAAATGTATATTCTTGAAATTTGAAACAGAACCTTTACAAATACAAAACTGTAATATGTCTTTATATAAACCTGCCTTGTATTTTTGTTTTTCAGCATATGAAAAGGACAGGATGGGTAAAACGGAATAAAGATCAAAGAGAAACGAATAATTACTGCCTTTATATTATCACTATCTTTACATTAAAAGGTATATGCATGCTTTCCGTTTTCTTACAATTGTCAATTTCTTCATTATGTCAATAAAGTGATTATTGGACCTTTAATTTTATATTTGAAAATAATTTTATTTAGGTTTATATTTTTATCTCATTGCGCTTTCATATTTTATTTTTGATGCTGTATTCTGAAATTCTCAGGTTTTTATATTATGTATATGTTTAATGTTTTATTTTAATATATGTCTCTCACTCAAATATATATATAATATTTTTATACCTCTCCCATTTGTTTTTTCATAACAAATTAATATATATTTAATTAGAATGGTGGATATTTATAACACAAATTTTTTTTGTCTGAACAAACTTGTTTTAAAATTCATTTGTTTTAGTGGAAATTCTAAACAATTATGAATGCGTTCAGGAAGACGCTATTAACGCTAAAAGCGTGCTCTGTCCTTGTTCAACTTTCAGTAAGTAACAAAGATAGAACGACTCTGTTAGTGCTAATAGCGTTTTCCCCGAACGCACTCTATATGTTATTAATGTTCGCATTAAATTTTTAAATAATTTTATAGTTTAAATATTAAAATATTTATAAACTTGTCTATATCTTATATAATAATATATACAATACGTTATATTAAAGGTTGGATCAATTTATTCATATATGGAAACACAATTGTGTGTGTTGGACCATGATTTCTAACTACCAACACATTCGTTTTACAATTGATATGTATACTTAACATATTAGAGTGTTGTATAGAACAATATATATAATAATTCATTATATATTATATATTTGACAAAATACACACTCATTTATGTTTATAAATACGTTAGATGTATAGAAGAGTTTATCACGAAAAAGATCTAACAATAAATCTATAATAATTAATAATTGTTAAACGTAACAATAATATAAAAATGACAATTATAGAAAAGATAATTAAAACACACTCAAAAGGATATTAAAACAAATAATTTAATATATAATTAAATGTATTTTCTTGTTCTATAAAAAATCTAATACGTTGTCATATGAGTGGCATATAAAAAAAAAAAAAAAAAAAAAAAAAAAAAAAATACTATTTATTTCGACATATATTATTATCTTGTTTTATGAATAATTTTTCATTTTATTTATGACACTAATTGTGCCTCTCACATTCATCCCTACCATTTTTCGAGCCGGCAAGTGTCCTTATCTGAATGAGTCTGATCATCTGGTCGACATCTGTTAGTGCTCACAAGCTTTGATTCCTTATTCTCATTCGTTCCCTCTAATTTTTATCTTACTCTTGTCGTCTCGCTTTCGTTCTCGATGAGATACTGGAAAAATTTAAGATATACATTTTGAAAAAAAAAAATTAATTATTCTATCTGATATCATAGTGTGACATGTCAGCAAACAAAACACATAAAATAAGTCAATATGTATGTCGGGAAATGTTATTTTTACATAGCGAGAGAGCAGATTGCTATTTTGATAGAAAGAAACATTGTAATTTTGTGCTGAATTTTATATTATTACATAAAGAAGAATTATCACTATTACTGGAGTGAACAGGTTAAACTTAAGGTATGTATTAGTCATTTTAATAAAGAAAAGAATTTTATTAAATGTCAGAGACGAAAAGCGAGTTTTCTATTTTTGTATTTTATATTAAACCGGTGCGGATATTTTATGATCTAAATTTTTAAAGTATATTATAGAATAAACAATAATTAATAGAGATACGTACACGTACAAAAGTTATTATAAAATAATATTTCTCTTATTAGTAATATTTTTGTCCTCATCATGTCGATGATATAAGAGCCTGTTTTTTTACTTTTAGAATATAAAATTTTTATTTAAAATTTATATATATTTTACTTTCATTTCAAGGAATTTTATATATTTTTTAAAATAATTATGTGGAATATGTTTGAATATAAGATGGAAATTTTGAATATAATAGAAATTTTAAAAAATAGAAAATTTTAAATAAATAGAGATTTTTTCCGAGAAGCAGGCAGAGGAATATTTTTCCCAATAGTAACTGAGAGAGGGTAAAGAGATCTATTGTTTCAAAGAGAGAGAGAGAGAGAGAGAGAGAGAGAGAGAGAGAGAGAGAGAGAAAAGGTCTCCCTCACTCCCGGACAAATCTACGAGCATCGTTCGTCGGCGAAGTTGTGGCAGTATCGATCGATGCATTTACCTGGCCACCTGGCTACGAGCGGAAGAAACGAAAATTGGTTTTAGTGATCGAAGCGGCATACTCGTCGAGACATAAATAAACGAGGAACGCAAAGTGACATATAAAACAACGTGGCAAACATGGCTCAGACGGAGAATGACATTTGGGTGTCTCCGGCGGCGATTCTATCGAAATTCGATGTCGACGCTGATGGAACCTTGGACTATATGGAGTTCCGAGCGCTTTGTGTCCATTTGTTTGGAACGGACGAGGTCAAAGAGCACGAGTGGCGAGTACGGGAAATCTTCGAGCTATTCGACTTAAATGGAAACGGCACATTGAACGAGCAGGATTTACGAAGGTGATGCGTGCGCAATATCATCCCTCCTATAAAGAACGAATAAATTTGAAGGGTTGAGACATGAGGGAGATAGAAACACGAAAAAAAAACATTTAGGAAGGAAACAGATTTTTTGCTATTTTGTCACACACATATTTAATTTAAAGATATCCGAAAGATATCCGCACGATATCAAATCGATCAATATATCTCGAAAACGAAAAGATAAAGAATAATAAACTAAACTTGTAAAAATACAAAAGTTATTTTTTAGCGAGAAGTAATTTATATAAAAGTGTAAATTATTTATTACAGCGACATAAAAGTCCTATTTCGACTATCGTTGTCGTAGTATTTTAATTATGCCGTATAATCATGCTGATAAAATTTGAAATATGTCAATTAGTCCTTATCAAATTCCTTATGGCGTTGATATACATGCATATTCAGAGATAATTTTAATAAAGAAATATTTATTTTTTTTTTGCTTGCGTCAGTGATGTCATAAACATTATTTTATATTATATATGTAAATATGAATTTTTAAATATTATACATGAGAATATATATAGACGTCAAATTTTTATATTTAATTTTATGAGTCAACCCAGTCAGCCACGTCTGTTCTAACAGATATTGCCAAGTGCTTGCTACAAATTATTGTCAGCAAAAAGGCTACAAAACATATAGATGTGTATACTAATATAATATTTCTCAAATTTCACAGGCTGATATTTTACTTTGCGCGAATAATAATGAGTCAAATGTGCATTGTTTAGAGATAGTCCGCATTCTCTTTCATAATGAACAATTTTTGTTACAGATACTATGAATGGATACGCGCGACTGTATATCCCGTAAATGTTTTATTGGTCGTCGACGTTCAAAACGACTTCATTGATGGCACATTGGCTCTTCGAAAATCCGGCTATGGGCAAGACGGGGCAAAAGTGATAGAACCGATAAATCGGCTTTTAAAAAACGGTCGTTGGAACAAGATAATATATTCGCAGGATTGGCATCCTAAGGATCACATCAGCTTTTTTGACAATTTGGCAATGCGCGAGCTTCATCCCGAATCTAAGGTAATATCATTAGATAAAATAAATAATCAGACATGTCTCTCTTTTCTAATTGAGATAATAACTTGATTTCAAAATATAATTCTGAGAGTAAAATAAAAAAATACACACATACATATTTTATGTATGTATGCGTGTGTGTGTTTAGTTTAATTTAAAAAATAGTCTGTTTTTTTATATATTATTCGAGTTTTACACAAAAGATTTAATCACTTTTTCTATATTTCAATAAATCGAGCTTTATCGATCTCACTGTAGCTTTGTAAAGGCATTCAAAGAAAATTTTCAAATAACTCTTCTTAAATAATTTGTTCTATGTTTATGTTGTTTTAACTAATAAGTCTGACTTTTTTGCTATTTTGGAATTTAAATAATTTCTCACTTTGTGATGAATTTGGAACAGATTACTAAGAAAATGGCAAAACTTTTTGATACCGTTGATTTTTTACAACCTCATGTAACGCAGAAACTTTGGCCAAAGCATTGCGTTATGAATACCTGGGGCGCCGAATTACATAAAGATTTACTGATCGTACCTTCTTCCAAACAGGTAATAAATTAATTTCACAGAAAAGATCATTGTTCTCTGAGAGAACAAAAATATTACCAAACATTTATATGTTCTACATTTGATTAAAAAGTTTTTAATCTCTTGGAAAATTTAAATGCTGATTTGTATAATAATTATAGATATTTTCATCATTATAAGTTTCTAGCAGCTAATCATTTTTTAATATTTGCAAATTAGTTTTTAAAAAATATCTGTGTTCTCTTTTATATATAATTTATTAAATATTTTAATTATAGATGATCTCATCTATTATCTTATCTATTCTTGAATATTCTCTTCTTTATATTAGGTGTATAAAGGTCAGCACTGTGACAAAGAAACATATTCAGTATTTGGCGAAAAGGATGCTGATGGTACCTCAGAGCTTATAAAAATTTTTTTGGATTTTGGTTGCACGCACTTATATGTTTGCGGTTTAACTTATGATGTATGCGTGAAAGAGACGTGTCTGGATGGTTTGCGATATGGTTATCGGTTAGCCGTCGTTGACGATTGCTGTCGCGGCATAAAACCTGATGACATAACGATTGCTAAAAATCTGATTACTGAAAACGGTGGTTTACTGGCGTCTAGTGACCACGTTCTGTCCTTGGTAAACGAAGGCAAACAGAGCCTGATAATGGCGCATCATGCAGCCAGAAGCATGTGAATTGAAGAGATATTTTTGTAAAATTTTGTCAATTTTGCTTGAAAGGTAGTAAAGTTGTCAAATATTAGTCGAACATTGTAAAGACTAAACAAGTCTCTGATATAAAAAATAAGACAAATTATTTTATTAAGATTAATTTTTTTAGCTTTGTTATCAAATAATGATTTTGCGAGTTGTTACTTTTACGAAGATATTAAAGCAAATTTTTTAAAATTTCATATTTCAATATAATACAAAGCTGCATTGGAAATATAAAAATGAGAATTTAAATTTATTTCTCTTTTAAATAATTTTAATTAATTTTTTTGGAAGGATTTATCTGAATAATTAGCAGTTTGCTTAAAAAATTATAAAAATGAGAATATTTAAATGATACAGTTTATTTAAATTGCTATTTACATAAGATTAGCTAATTACTATTTATATAAATCTATATAGAGTTTAGTAAATTTATGTATATAAATATACATAAATTTATCTATATAGTTAGCATTAAAAGGAGCATTATTGTTCTTCTTTGCTTCTGATTAAAAATGTAATTAAACTTATAATATTTTTATAATTTTTTTGTGCTATATAAATTACTAAAAAAAATATATATATATATGTATATATTTACAATAAAATATGTGTTCTTTCTGTTCTATTTTTATCCATCGTCATTAATTATCTTTATCAATCAACAATCGTGCTGTTCTTTCGATCTTGTTTGCCGATTCATCGTCGATTGTCAATTCGCAGATATATCTTTGTCTCAAACCGCAATCCTCACCTCTGTAGGAATAAATCTTCGACGATGCATGGAAAGTTAACTTCAAGCATCTGTAATTCAAAACATTTATTATGCAAATATTGGTTTAGCATAACAAAGCTGATAGTGTAGAGTATCCTTGTGTTGAAAGATTAGCATCATTGTAAGTTATTACCTATTCACTATAGATAAATAGCCGGTTTTAAATAAAAATAGCGTCGTATAGCGTAGATGTTTTCGAGATTCCACAAAATATATATGGAATCTTAGCATTACAAATAATTTATTTTTTTTCTATTAACAACAGATCTATTTTTTATTAATGGAAATCTATTGTAAATTATTTGCAATAAAGTTTCCATATTTGCTCTTATATCTTCCAAGATAATTATATAAAAATAAAACAATTAATAAAAATCAAATATATCATATATCGTACAGTAAAATTCGATATTTATATCTTTCTTTCGAAACATTTTTACGAGCATTTTGCCGCAGCTCATGTATCTTAATTATTATATCGTATAAAAATCATTAATATCTATATTTTTATATTTTATATCTTCATATATTCTATTTGAAATAAATGATACGAACCTGCCATCACCAATGACAGACTGTTTAGTATCTTGATGAACTGGTCTAGCACTGCTGGCCCAGATCCATAAAAGTCCTGGATTTAAGCCTCCCGTCCAGAAATTTTTACCCTTTAATTTTGAATCCGACATCAAGCCGGCAATTACATCTTGACTTTCTTCGATCGTATCGAATTCGACTAAATGCCCACCCATACCACGACAAAGACTGGCTGATGATTTCCAATTGAAATCGCGATTGCTGAAATGGTAGCAATTTTGACCCATTCTTGTGTAATTGGCAGGACAAGGTTCTGAAAAAAGCAATAATAATAAACGATGTGGATATGTGTTATAAATGAGAAGTTATTTTTCTTTCTTTTTCTTAATATTTAATTAGTTGCTTCTAAATATTGAGAGTGAAGAAAGAAATATATTCTTTAATAATAATTATTTATTATGTTATTAATTTTTTATATCGATATTAACAACTCTCGATACCGTTAGTTGATTTACCTTTCATTTTATTGTTCCCAGCAATAACGTAATATAACAATTCTTCTGCTCTTCTTAATCGTTTTTCTAGATGATCCACTCTGTAGACCAATTTCTCGATTGCACCTATGAATTTTTATTCAAAATTCTTAAATCTATCTCGTTTAATTACTAGTATGATCACTTCAAAATTATATTGACACGATTAAAAAATTATTGGTGTTTTTTTTTTAATGAAATTTTTTACACATCATACCAAGTAAATACAGATCGGTTTCAGAAACGTCTCTTTTATTTGTCGTGGAAATTTTTGTCGACACTGTCACAGTTTTATCACCAATTTTCATCGCACGTGCGGTACGAGAATTGTTGGATTGAAGGATGATCCAATTTTCAAGGATTTCTGCCCAGGGACCATGATTCATCGTGACAAGCGATAATTCTAACTGGGATGAGGATGATGCTAACAAAATTATGATACATATCAACAAGTATAATTTGTAATCATCTTAAGAATTCATATCTTATTTTACTGTTATATAAAAAATTAATAATCTAATTTAATAAGAATATAGCACAATATGCAAATAACGAAATAATAATTAAAAATAACATTCAAAAAATATTACTTTAAATAAAAGAGTATATACATTTTTTATCAATTTTTTTATATATAAATTATACATAAATTATGATAATACGTACCACATACTATACTGATCGCTGTCAACATGATAAGCATAATTGTAGAACATAACTGCATGACCGTTTTGCTTGTCATCGTGATTCTGAGATCAAAGAAATACAGCGCAGATGAGATCTCTGAAGATACAGGAACTGAAAGGCCGGCATTTAAATTGCGAAATATAAAGCAAACGAAATAAAGGCGTTCTGTTTTTCGCTTGAAACGATGTTCGCGGTATCTCTGACTTTCTCCAGGAAAGTTAACGGCGGTATGTTGAAATAGCAAATACCCGGATGCAAACGAGTATTGAAAAATCTCGATATGTACTTATAAACGTACATAACTGGATAATATAACAATATAATCTAGGAATAAAGTAATTTTTTCTAATATATATATAAAAATGCATGCATTTAAATTTCGAGTATTTGTTTTAAAATTAAGAAAACTTGAATGTTACATCGTAATGTAAATAGAAAAATATTTTATAGAGAGAATAAGAAACATCATTAAACAAATTATTTTGTTTCATGTAAAAATAGAGCCGTAAGTTTTGTTAATTCTTTGTATTATATTTGATCATATAATTTTGATCGGATATCATTGTGACAGTCATTGATTTACAAAAGTTGTGTAATTTTCTCATAAATATTTTTGAGATAAATATTGATAGACGTACATATATATTATGCAATATTCTGAAAAATATTTATGGTATTATAAATATTTTTTCTGAGAGAAATTAATGCTAGTACGGTATGTATTATATTGTGTTCGTGATGGCATGACAACTGATGCATAATGAACGAAATTGAATGAAAGAGAAGCTAGTATCAAGAGACACGGTAGTGTCTCGCTCCATCACGTAATAAATACCGGAAATTGTCGACGATTTACTAATTCTTTTTTACAAGCATCATTCAGGAAAATGACATTAACGTAGTTTAGCCTTGACAGCTCAACACGTGTAAAAATACATTCGAATTTCTGTGCTTACGATTAGAATGTAATCATGGTTGGTGACATCTAACATCCATTATTTTAATTAAACTTATACATTATAAGAAATATCAAGATGTTATCAAAATAATAAAAAATTTAATAAAGAAAAAGATTTTTTTAAATTTACATAAAGATTTAAATACATATACAAACTTTTTAAAAAATTTAATTTTAATTTGCATGTTAATAAGAAAAATATTTTACTTCTTAATGAAAAATATATATTATTAAAAGATATATATTTATATGAATTTCACATTTTATATTTATACAATTTATACATAAGGACCGCGAAATTTTTGAAATGAAAAGTGCACAAATAAATTTTTCCACAGTTGCAATTGGATATTTTAAAAGGATAATCGCAGAATATCTACGTGGAAAATGTAAATACCTTCACTCACATGGCTTGTATGGAACAATTATCTTGATATCACGACAGTATTCTACACCCAATCGTTTGTCACAAACGACTGAGAAGAAAAGATTGGATGATGATGCCGGAGTCGTAGCCCAGACCTCTCTGGGTCACTTTCTCCCCACCTTAGAAGTCAAGTCACTTTCTTCGGCAAGCCTACTCAAAGAGGATTCGATGACCTACCGATCGTGACGGTAGTCTTGTTCGCCGAATGTCAATGAAATAAATGCATTTTGCATAATGAAGTATTACGAAATATATCAATTATACACACATTAATAGAACAATTTAATCATTTACGTTCTCGCTTAATAATAAGTATGGTAGTAAATATAAAACAATTTCTTTCATTACAATAAAAATGTAATTATTAAAATTATTGTAAATATCTATAGAATTGGTTTACTGACTTTTTTTTTGATATATTTAATAATTCTAAAATTTTAAAATATTTTTGATATAAATGTAACTTACTATTATTATTGTACAACTTCCATAATATTGTAGAAGTTAGTATTAATTTTTATGTTAAAAAAACTGCTTACTTAAAATGAAAAAATTTACAATCTAAAAAAATATTAAAAATGATATTCTTAAAAATAGATTTATTACGTTTTGTCACAATATGCATTTTTGGTAATATTATGTTTGGCGTTGTTTTTTATTATCTTTGATAAAAATCGCGTTTTCATAAATTTCAAGTCTTATGTGAATGTTCATTTATTTACTCCTTGTATAAATACTCGCTAAGATCGACCCACTGACCCAGTTTCTTCGATGTATTCGAATATCTGCGGTTTCAACAAAGTGCAAACATAATAACTTCATCGACCACTTAATAATAGCGGCATTTATATGATCAACTATCACATACTTTCTCGAATCACTAAGCGATTTACGCAAGTTGCAATTATTTTCTTAGACATTAACGAGTCATCTTTGTGGGATTTATACCATGCCATTTTAAATATTTCTTCAAATAATCCCGACAAAATAAGATTTCGCGGTTTAGAAATTTGTGATAGTAATATAACCATAAACACACAATATTTTATATATAAAAATTACAAATGTAGCTCATTTTTATTAACACAAAGCAATAAAATTATTTAACACTCTCAATAGTGTTCTTTTTTATATTAACAATATAATTACAAAAGAAGAAAATTTTATTATCTTTTTCTAAATATTAATAATGTTTACAGAATGTCTCGATCAGATCCACCGTCATTTTTTGGCTTACTTTCTTCTCCTTCCCATTTTAATGTATAACATTAAATTTTTTTGTGTTCTCTACACAATTTCTCCGTTTGACTTGCAGCAATTCTTAATTATTATTTTTTTTCGCAATCAAAGATCGATGTCGCGTCGAACAGATAACGGATGTAATCCGTTCAGGATGATGCGAGTTAACTGTATGCCGCGCAGGATATAACGTAGGATAACACAGATGTTCCGTGGACCGAATATACGTGTAAGGTCACATCGGATTGCGATGCATCGAAGTCCATTCACAGAGAATTTCCATTGAAAAATTCACATTAACGAAATTTTATTTAACTAGATTGGTCAAACAGCGCTTACGACAGTCTTCCGTCGTCGATATCGTCCCATTTACATAATAATTGATCATTAAAAATACACAGTGAGGTTGAGCCTCTCGTTGCCAGCTTGATCGTCTCCGGTTCGCGTTTCCGCTGCGACCTCGACGCTGTCCACGGTCTGGAAAACGATGAATATTTCTATCTCTATTGTTCTTTATTTATTTGCTCTTTCTAGGGTAACATAATATATTTCTCCGAGTGAACTCGGATTAAATTATTTCTTCTGTATATATTATTTGTAAGCATATCGCTTAAGAAGTAGTAAGTACGAGAGAGAGGGAGAGAAAAATATTGCTCTCTATTTAAATTATATTTAAATGTAAAAAAAATATATTTCTTCCTTTTAACAGTTTAAAAAAAAGTTATAAAAAAAATGAAATATCTCTTTAGGCATACAAAAATTAATTCAACATTATAAATTTTTTTAAATTCGCTATTCAATATAAAATTTATCTTTCTATAAATAAAGGATCTACCAATTTATTTGCGAGATAATTACCCTATCGTCATCGTCCCAGGACAATTTTTTAATTCTCGGCAAGCCTGAACTGGCAGGCCACGCTGGCACCAAGGAGTCTGGAGGATCTCCTGAATAATTAGAGGAAGCATGGGATCCAGCATCTAAATTGGTCCTAGCACTCAAATCGTTCATATTCTGCACTAAACCGCCAATATTTGGAATATTCGAAGTAGCTGATAAAGTTGGCGGATTCGGGGCGGGTGCTACTTTATGTCTAGCATATAATGGTAATTGTCTCGCTGATGCTATACCTATAACATAAGATGAGAAAGAAACTGATAATGAATGTCATAAATATTCGATGATAAAGATGTGATTTTACGAAGAATTACAGAACTCTTAAAAGAAATTAAATAACGTTGACAAATTTTTTGAAAAAAAGTTTACTTACTTACAAGCAATTAAATTTGATTTTTATTATTTTAATAGATGCATAAAAATTGCATGTAAAAAACATGTAAAGCTGAGAAATAAAAATAAAGAGATAAAAAGAAATAAAATAAAATTATGTCAAACACAGGACATACTTTTAATTGTAGCGCCGTATGAGTTTTCATTCGTTTCTCCGAAGACGGGATTATCGATATCGTTACGGCTGTCGTTATCATTTTCGTTGCTGTCGTTATCGCGAGATCGATTTCGTGGGCTCTCCAAAGTATCCTGAAGAACATTGGCACCTAACACCTGCGGCATCGGGCTCAGAGCCGAGGGAACTGGTGATTTCTCGCGATATCCCGTACCTACAGAGCTGACTGAACCACCGCTTTTAGGTCTTTTACTTAAAAAAAAAAAAGTTCTTATTATATGTATATAATTAAATAAAAATTTTTATATGTATATGAATACGACTCAAAGATGCATCGAGAAAACCAATATATCATTTTATCTGTAATAGAGCTTTCTCCTCAATGACATGTGTAAACTTAATATATTATCTAATAATTCGACGGTGAAGATATAGACTTATTAAGTTCGATAAATTAAATTTATGATGCTATTTTTGTACAAAAAATACATCATTATTCAATGTAATAATTAATTAACATATAATTATGAATTGGTTTGAATTTATGTTCGACGGATTTACTTACTGCTTATAAATATAAAGGATGAGAATGAGTATGACGACTCCAAGAAGACCTAAAACTGCACCGAAGATTGCAACTAATAGCACACTATTACCGAGCCAAGCAGGTGCAGCTCTCGCAGCGATCGGCAATGAGCCGCTATTTGGTACGTGTACGATCACCGGGATCATACTGTATCTAAAGAAATCGCAGATGGAAACAGATTAATATCTGAAATGATCATTAACGTGGAATTAAATAATTACAGGGAAATAATGTATAAATACTTGGACGGTTTTCCGGTGTCGGAAGCCACTGCCATAAATCGAGCCACAGATCCGTTAAATGAACTTGACGATCGTAGCACCAATTCTCCGTTGTCTCTAATCTCGAAAGACCTGAGAAAAAAAAATGATTTATATATAATTATATTAAAATTAATTATAATTAAATTTCATAAAAAATAGATGAATAAATATGTATTTTATTGAAGTTAGAGTATTTATTTTTTAGAATTTATATAATATATCAAACATCTTATATTTAAAATATAAAATTTTCATGTAATGTATATTGCTTTTATTTAATATATATTGTAATTTATACCTAGCATCTTGTCCTCTGAGAGATAAGCTGATTTTGTCGCCTCTATCACCGTCAGCTGCTTCTAATTTTCCTGAAAAGTTACGCACTTTTCAAATATTGTGTAACAGAAATTAAGATCGTCATTTAATGCGATAAAGAGAAAATTTACCAACGATAGAGCCTTCTCTTGCGGAAGGAGCGTGAAATTCGTAGCGGGTATATCGAAATCGAGGTTCCCACTCATTCACGTCTTCGACGGTAATGTTTGCCCGTGACGTATCATTCTGAAAAAACATATTTATATATATATTATATATTACATGTATATAATGTGTATATATTATATAAAGATAATTAATTATATAAAAAAGATAATTTAAAATACTAAAAAAATACTAAAAGGACATACATGATATCCGTCTGTGACGTGAACCAGGAAATTATGCTGAACCCGTCGTTCGTAATCCAAATTACCTTTGAGGATCAACTCCCCAGAATTAGTAATTGAAAATCTCTCCAGATCCTCGGCCGCACCAATCAACGAAAATTTTAAATCCTAGGATTTAAAGCTAAGATACTACGCTGCTATATCACGGTTTACTTGCATTCTTATCGTTAAAGCAAATTTTTATACTACTTACAGGATCGGCTTTGTTGACCCCGGCCGTTAGAAGGACGCTCCCAGGCGGCGTGTCCTCAGGTACGCTCGTTTGATAATCCTTTAGCACGAATTTCACGGGTAATCGACCACCTAGTATGCGTAAGATAAGAATCATTTTGATCTGACATAAGATATGTTATCAAACCGACAATAATTTGATTCGATTAAGCATTATTTTGACCATTTACTTTGCATATAAAAAGACGTATGTTTAATTTAAATTTTGGATGAAGAATATATAAATTATAGAATTTTTAATTCATAATTATTTAGAAATATATATGAATTGATTGCAAATCAATTTATTTTAATGATTAAATAATGATAATTAATAATTAATTATGCAATAAATTACTATATACAAATAAAATATATGTAAGCCACAATAAAAAACAATTTCAAGAAAAATAATTAAAATATATTTAAATATACCTGCTGTTGGTTCAATCCCATAGCCATCTTCTCGCGATACGATAACTGTGGCAAGAGCATATCTATCCGGATTATTCACTTGAGTAGCCTATTTAACAAATAATTTTTTATTGTTATTATTTTTTTATATATGCCAAGAATTTGATTAAATTATTTCAATATCAATATTTCTACCTTAATGACGATAGTCGCTGACGTCATTAGCTCGTGATCCTGTAATGATCGTATCATGACGATTTCAGCAGTCTCAGGATTTAAATCCAGAAATGGTAAAATTCCACCTTGAATGGTATATCGTACTGGCGCATTTATTCCAACATCTTGATCTACGGCTTTTATCGCGGCAGGAGTCACTTTTAATGTTTTTCTCTAAAAATTAATAAATTAAATTAATTTGCATTAAATTATTATTTCTTTTTCCTTCAGATCTCTTTCTCTTCTTCATTATATCTTTATCTCTTTTTTTTTTATCTTTTAAATATTTAACATAAAATAATGTATATAATATGTGTGTATCTATTAATAATAAAGATAGTAATTAAAATAACCAAATACGCTTCTTTAATCCGTATTTTCTATAAAATAAAATCAAATCTGACTGAAATAAATTTTTCAACACAAGAAAATAAGTCAATCTTACCCCCTTAACGTGACGGGGTACAGCGACCTTGTATTGATCATTCAAGAAAGCTGGATTTTGATCGTCGGCGTCGATAACGTTGACGTATAACGTCGTCGTCGACGAACGTGGTGGACTACCTTGGTCCTATAAAAACAAAGCTCATTGCTGATGTTAAATTGTAATTTAAAATTAGTATTATTTTATACAAATATGTACAATTGGATTAAAAGAGAAAACATTCTTTTGACTTTTATTGTCGAAGTACAGCTACAAGCGTGAGAAATACAAAAAGCATTGTTCTCTCTCTCGATCAGGACTCTTTCTAATCTTTACTCTTGATCGATGTTGCGTATCGATACGCATGGAGAGATTATCAATTTGTTTAAATCGATTTATTTAAATCTATCATGATCCACTTACAATATTTTAAATTTTATTTAAATTTATTTATTTTTTATTTATAGTTACTGTTTTACATATTTTGCAAATCATGTTGTATAAAAAGGATAATTTTTACTCGATTTTGTCAAATCAATTATACCGAATTCAAATCATTTTTCTATTTGAAAAAAGAAATTTTTATGCATTAGATATATATTTGCTTTTATGAAATATAATCTGTGAAATTTGTAAAATAATAACAAAGTTTGAAAGTCGCGTATTATATGTCTATAAATTTTAGTTTACTTAATCTTTAAATAATCTTGAAATAATATAGATAAAAAAAACTTACTTGAGCGCGGATACCAACGGAAAAGTTGGTGAGAATCTCGTAATCTAGCGATTTCCTTAGTACGAGAGTGCCTTCCAAAGCGTTTACGAAAACAAAATAATCCTGTATATAAAAATATAAATTATTTATTTAACTTTCTCTCTCAAACTGTATCTTTTATAAATAAAATTATTATTATTATTGACGAAATAAATTAATAGCTTGATAAATAATAAAAAAGATTGCGAAGTAAATATTATAGCTGTATAATAAATGCAAAAATATGATAAAAAACTAATTAAGGAGACAAATAATTTAGTCGTATAAATGTTTATAAAATTTACCGAATAAGTTCCTGGTAAAACTGCGTATTGCACAGTAGAATATGGTCCTGGTTGATCAGCATCGACAGCTCGGACTCCTTGTAAGACTCTCGTACCGAGAACAGTAACCTAAGATATTCAGTCGCGTTATAAAAGGCAAAAAATAACGCAATCTTAAAATATTAAAATAAAAAGTCTTCTCACCTCAGAAATATTCAACACATAAGGTGCATTTATAAATTGCGGTGAATTGTCATTCGCGTCGGTTACTCGAATGTTCACTGGTATGATAAATCCCTTTAAATATAAAAAAGAAAAACGATTGTTTAAATAAATGATGCTAAAAATAAAAAATAGGACTGTATCTGTCATTCAATAAAGGTGGAGGAATTGTCTTACTGGATCTAAGGTGTGCTTCTTCTCGCAAATAATGTTGATGTAGACACTCGCTGGTCCCTCGACGCCCTCCTTATCGAGCGGTCTGATAAGAGTCAAGTTTTTTGAGTACGACGAGAACGCGACGGGGCTGTCATGCTCCTGCAAGCTCAGTTCGATGTCACCTTGCAGGCTGGGGTCACCCACTACCCCGAGGATCCCCACGATGCCACCGACGGGCAGATCCTCGCTGACAAAGAGATGCGCCGCAGTGGCTCCGTTCTCCAGGAAGCATCGCTTGTCTTGAATTACTGCAAAAAAAAAAAAAATTGAGGAATTGTCGGCATACATTATGAAATAATGTGTGTAGTTTGTACAATGTAAACCAGAAATTAATTATTACTATAAGTGAAAGAAGTGGGTTTCTAGAATGAAGAGAAAGAGAATGGAATTATCCTATCATCAATAAATATATTGCAAATTTAAATATAAATTATAGATTTTTATATTTATTATAAAAAAAATAAAAATTTTGTTTCTTAGAACATTTGAAACTTTTGGAAATTACATTATATACTATACATAGATATCTTTTGAATAATATAATATTTAAAGAAAGACATTTATTAAAATCACACAAAATTAAAACGGATAGATATTAATAAAAAGATATTTGAATTTTATAAAAAAAGTATATTATTTGAATTTTTGAGTATATTGTTCTGAGTAAAAAATCGTATTACTAAAAGCTTGCTCGAAAAAATAATCGCTTGCAATATAATATTGGATAAGTGGCTTTGGGATTACTGCAGTTTCCTGTCAAAATCGGATAACTGGTTTTCAATGGGTTGTGCAAATTCAATGGGCTACACAAGACGTGAAAGGACCGTGGGACAATGATCTTATGAGAAACTCCATCTGGACCTTCGTTCTAAGGATATATGAGATCAATGCACGAATACAATCGCGCTGACCACTGATAAATATATAAAACATATTCAATAAAAAAGTTGTATAATTTACTTCAATATATAATTATGTTAGTAATCTAATAAATGCTGAGAAAAAAGATTTGGGAGAATAATCTCAAGAATATCCATTTTGATATTAGCCTCTTTAGAAAAAAATGCATAATTTTTTAAAGAAACTAAATTAAAAAATTTAACAAAAATATATGTATAATATATACATATGGAGAGAGACACATATTCTCTTTTCTCTAGATATTTATTTCGTTGATTTTAAGTAATTATCGAGTATTTATTTATCGTGTTTTATCATTTCTAAAACTACTTCCGTAAAATAAGCATCGTGTAATGTCTATTTTATTAAAATTTCAACGGCAAAAAAGCAATCATTTTTGTCTTTTTAAGTGCAAATGACATGCAAGAAAATAGCTTTATTGCTACTTGTAATCGTAGATGACAAATATATAACTATAATAATACTTATGATATTAGTGTGCGCACACATTTTCTCGTAACACTCATTGTCCAGTTATTAATTGCGGATGTCTTAATGGCTTCAAACGATCCTGCACAAATTCATGCATTCTAGAAGCGTTGCATCGTAATGCAGTTAAGTTTACCGTAAACATAACGTAACTTTGTAATCTAGAGCGTAGTAGAAAAGCGAGAGCACTTTTCAAAATTATCAAAGATGTAAATATTATTTTGAACTAAAATCATTTAGAAATAAAATTATGTATACAGAGAGATATTCCTGAAATATAAATATATAATATATATACTTGTTTCTTTTTTTTTTTTTGCAAAAATGTCAAAGCTTTTGTAAATTATTATTTTTAGAAAATACAAGATTTAATTTTTTATATTCAAGAGAGTTAGTAAAATAAAAAATATAAGAATTGCCATACAGTTGGGACATAATGGAATAAGTATCATTATATGTTTATACTAGTATTATTCTTATATTTAATAACCGGATAAAGTGTGTTGGATAAAATGCATAAGAGGCAGCGGGGTCATTTGTGTCTAATAACAGCTTTAGCTGTTCTAATGCCAACATGTGTCTAACAACAGCTTTAGTTATTCTAATGCCAACATAAATTACGACAGCCGCTTTTGCACCTCATTTGGCTATCATAGTCGTCGTCGTCAGAGACCTCCAATTTCAGTTTCTGCATAATTTATCAATTATTATAATCATACGTAATCTTTCAAAGAGTAAAACAACAGCAACGATTTAATATTTTGCGGTACAGAGCTTTTCCAGGTTTTCTTTATTATCTCAATAACGAGCGTATAATGAACAAAAATAATAAGATAAAATCAAAGAGAACAGAATTGGCAAGCGATTCCATGAATTTATATTATGAGCGTAATTGGATATTTTCATATCATTATTGCAATGAAATTGTGTCGCAATCGGGAAGAAGGTAATCTTTTTTGTTGGAAGAGAAGGTATTGTACATTTCCAACATTTGATTGTGAAATTCATTCGACAAAAGTCTGATTAGACACCATGTCATTCAATGATCATTCGTTCTTCCCGATTGATCGACGGAAATTCGGACGCTGAAAGGACGCATAGACGAATACGCGTGGGCTGTTTAACGCGTGTGCGAGAGGGTAGATATACGCGCTTCCTTGGAGCGGAATTCCGGTCGCGAACTCATGGCGTATCGTCGGCGCAGCGTTACGGCGCTGCCTTTCGCAAACTTCTTTCCTGGCATAAACGAGGACCAAAAGTCGAGCGTCGTTCGATCGTGCACAAAAACATCCGCGAATGTGCGATTAATGCAAATATAAACTACACTTTGCGTCCGGTTCATGCACAAAAACGTAATTTGTTCATTAATAATTCAGGTGAAAATAGATCTGGAAGGTTTAGTGGAAGAGAGAACAAAATAAGTACACACATATTTCAATTCTATTTAATTCTAAATTCTATTCTATTTATTTGGAATATATATATAACTTTTTATTATATATAAATGTTAGAAATTATATAAAATTTTTATAAAGACAGAGCAATTAGATTTTATATAGATCAAATATAAACTCTTTTTCTTTTAATAATTTTGAAATATATGAAATATATTTTTTTGATTTATAAAGCACTATATATTTTGCTTTATTAATTTCTAATAATAATTAATAAATATGAGATGAAGAGAGAGACAGAAATATATAGAGAAAAAAATTGATGCAAGAAGACCTACATTGTCCGACATGCGGTCGCAGCATGCAGCAGAGGAGCAGCAAGAGCTTCAATACGTTTCGTCCCATGGCAATTCAAGATCATCGTCCATCGATTCCGTCGATCGGTACATCTGTAAAAAAAAAGCATGGAGATCGATGACGGGGAACGAGAAGGATAGTGAGAAATTCAAGTTTGCGTAACTGAGTTCTCTTTAATCTTCTCGTGCACCGTGGGAATGAAGTTACTCAAAAGATATTGAATCGTATCTGCGGAAATAACATTTTCTACGTTTCTGCATCCTATATCTGCTTTCTCAGGATTATTATAGAATTATTATTGATTTTCCTCGCGCGTCCAGAAATTTTTTATTTCTCGCGAAAAGGGATTTTGCGTGAGATATGAATATATATTTGCAAGAATTATAAAAAGTGGAAAGTTTTTAATTATAATTTGCTTATCGCTACGTTTTTTTAAATATTATTATTCAAGATTAATGTCAAATATTTTAACTGTAATTAATAATAAAATTTAATATATTATTTACATTGCGTAATTAAATCATTTTACACAAATTTATCTAACATGCTATTAAGATTTATTTTTCTATATGCAACATTAATGTTGCAACGACACATAAGGTATATGTGATATAATAACACGAAAGTGCAAAGATTTTATGTAACGCAATTTGTACATAAAATAATTACTTTGTCATTTTTTTATTACATAATTTTCCAGTACCTAGTTTCTTTCTTTCCTTATGTATACATACTTAATTTAGACTTTTCCGCCTTTTCATTTTTAATGAATGAGATTTAATTCTCTTTCATAATTAAGCGAAACAAAGCAAAAATAAAAAATAATAAAATTTATATTATATCATTAAATTATGATTTTTTATTAATTTTTGATCGACAAAATAATTAATAAATTGTCAAAATTCTGTATATTAAAGATTATTTAGAAAATAATAAGTTTGGCAAGAGAGAAAGCAATACAAGATGAAAAAAATTATTACGAAGTTGTGAAAACTTGATTGAAAAGGAGATTCGTGAAACTGAAAGTACATGTCAAAATCTTAGAATCTTTTTTACTCACTTTTTTATAAATATTTTATGAACTTATTAATATTTTTTGAAGAAGAATGATAGAGTGAAAATAATAATAGCGTCTTTTAAAGATAACAATTTCATAAGCATTGCTCATTTTATATTGATATATATTTTTGCGTTCAACAAGATGACGCAAGGACTTGTCGTTAAACGTAACAATTTACTAGTAACGTGCAAGTAACATCAAGTTTGTCATCAGATTAGCAGACGAGTGTAAAAACATAAACGATGAACAAACGACCACCTGGTACGACGACGAAACGTGTCTGTAGCACGAGCATAACGCGTGGTTAGAAAGCATGCAGAGAAACTCCTTTATTACGTGGAACCACGGCTATGTAGGACTGCGCGTCATCAGGGCTAGAATGACTCGTGCAATTTATCGCCGGAGACAATTCTTGACACCTCGCACTGTCGCCTTTCATGCTAATGTGTCTTTTTAGCGATATCGCATCGAAAGTTTGGCGATGGTTTCTGGCGTTTAAAATATTAAAATTACACGAAATTACACGTAACGTTTCTTTTTACAATTGAATGGCAAAAACGGAAGTAGACTTCTTCAAGCTTGTTAATACGAGAAAGTGCGACCAATTAACTTAATCTTTACATTTTGCCATTCATGGTATTAAATGGCAAAAATAGATAAGTATAATATTTTAACAGAAGAATTTTGTTATTTAAATACAAATATTAATTATATTGTTATTATTAATTATTGTTATTATTTATTTTTATATCTTGAAGTAAAAAATGAATTAAATACTGTTATATTAAAATAAAATGCCGTTATATTAAAATAGCCCGGGAACATGCGTGTTATTGTGCATTCAGCATTGATTTTATATAAATAAAAAAAAAATTATATAAAATTTTTATAAAGACAGAGCAATTAGATTTTATATAGATCAAATATAAACTCTTTTTCTTTTAATAATTTTGAAATATATGAAATATATTTTTTTGATTTATAAAGCACTATATATTTTGCTTTATTAATTTCTAATAATAATTAATAAATATGAGATGAAGAGAGAGACAGAAATATATAGAGAAAAAAATTGATGCAAGAAGACCTACATTGTCCGACATGCGGTCGCAGCATGCAGCAGAGGAGCAGCAAGAGCTTCAATACGTTTCGTCCCATGGCAATTCAAGATCATCGTCCATCGATTCCGTCGATCGGTACATCTGTAAAAAAAAAGCATGGAGATCGATGACGGGGAACGAGAAGGATAGTGAGAAATTCAAGTTTGCGTAACTGAGTTCTCTTTAATCTTCTCGTGCACCGTGGGAATGAAGTTACTCAAAAGATATTGAATCGTATCTGCGGAAATAACATTTTCTACGTTTCTGCATCCTATATCTGCTTTCTCAGGATTATTATAGAATTATTATTGATTTTCCTCGCGCGTCCAGAAATTTTTTATTTCTCGCGAAAAGGGATTTTGCGTGAGATATGAATATATATTTGCAAGAATTATAAAAAGTGGAAAGTTTTTAATTATAATTTGCTTATCGCTACGTTTTTTTAAATATTATTATTCAAGATTAATGTCAAATATTTTAACTGTAATTAATAATAAAATTTAATATATTATTTACATTGCGTAATTAAATCATTTTACACAAATTTATCTAACATGCTATTAAGATTTATTTTTCTATATGCAACATTAATGTTGCAACGACACATAAGGTATATGTGATATAATAACACGAAAGTGCAAAGATTTTATGTAACGCAATTTGTACATAAAATAATTACTTTGTCATTTTTTTATTACATAATTTTCCAGTACCTAGTTTCTTTCTTTCCTTATGTATACATACTTAATTTAGACTTTTCCGCCTTTTCATTTTTAATGAATGAGATTTAATTCTCTTTCATAATTAAGCGAAACAAAGCAAAAATAAAAAATAATAAAATTTATATTATATCATTAAATTATGATTTTTTATTAATTTTTGATCGACAAAATAATTAATAAATTGTCAAAATTCTGTATATTAAAGATTATTTAGAAAATAATAAGTTTGGCAAGAGAGAAAGCAATACAAGATGAAAAAAATTATTACGAAGTTGTGAAAACTTGATTGAAAAGGAGATTCGTGAAACTGAAAGTACATGTCAAAATCTTAGAATCTTTTTTACTCACTTTTTTATAAATATTTTATGAACTTATTAATATTTTTTGAAGAAGAATGATAGAGTGAAAATAATAATAGCGTCTTTTAAAGATAACAATTTCATAAGCATTGCTCATTTTATATTGATATATATTTTTGCGTTCAACAAGATGACGCAAGGACTTGTCGTTAAACGTAACAATTTACTAGTAACGTGCAAGTAACATCAAGTTTGTCATCAGATTAGCAGACGAGTGTAAAAACATAAACGATGAACAAACGACCACCTGGTACGACGACGAAACGTGTCTGTAGCACGAGCATAACGCGTGGTTAGAAAGCATGCAGAGAAACTCCTTTATTACGTGGAACCACGGCTATGTAGGACTGCGCGTCATCAGGGCTAGAATGACTCGTGCAATTTATCGCCGGAGACAATTCTTGACACCTCGCACTGTCGCCTTTCATGCTAATGTGTCTTTTTAGCGATATCGCATCGAAAGTTTGGCGATGGTTTCTGGCGTTTAAAATATTAAAATTACACGAAATTACACGTAACGTTTCTTTTTACAATTGAATGGCAAAAACGGAAGTAGACTTCTTCAAGCTTGTTAATACGAGAAAGTGCGACCAATTAACTTAATCTTTACATTTTGCCATTCATGGTATTAAATGGCAAAAATAGATAAGTATAATATTTTAACAGAAGAATTTTGTTATTTAAATACAAATATTAATTATATTGTTATTATTAATTATTGTTATTATTTATTTTTATATCTTGAAGTAAAAAATGAATTAAATACTGTTATATTAAAATAAAATGCCGTTATATTAAAATAGCCCGGGAACATGCGTGTTATTGTGCATTCAGCATTGATTTTATATAAATAAAAAAAAAATATTGTGCATTTTTATATATTCATTATTTTTAAATAATATTAATAAGATATATTAAAGAATATTTTTAATTAAGTTTGAAATACTTCTCATAATTCAGTATTGAATGCGTGTTTAATTAATACTCATTGTTATTATTTTTTTTTAAATTTTGATTTCTATTATAATCTCTTGACATTTATAATAATTACTAATAGAAAAGTTTTGAAATCTCAATTCCGCTCTTTCTCCACTAAAATGTACTTTTATAAGCCTAGGATATCCTGTATGATTGTTCGTTAATCCTTTCACACGTTTTTAGCATCACTTGACATAAGTAGTTGAAAGGCTATAAAGAATATAGAACGAAAAACCCCAATGTAGAAAAATCTTTGCAAAATTGCTTAGGCAAATAAATTGAATTTATATTTATAAAAAAGGTATTAACCGGATACTTCGGCTATATATGGGCCGCGGTACTGCTTAAATTCACGGACCGTAAATTGAAACGCAACGCGTGATGGGCAACCGGCGTAAAGGCCTCCGGTCTCGGCTCCGGCAGATAACTGTATAAAAACATTGGTCAGTTATTGACAGTTTTAATGATTTAAGCTTTCGTACTGATCTCTTATTTTGATCAAAGTTAGCGATTAGTTATTTTATCATTGCTTGAAGAATAATCGTCATTTTCCTCAGCAATATTTAAGATATTTAATTATTTTATTATTGTGTTATACTTTTAATCGTGCTTAAACCTGTTATATCATGTTTTTTTAAATTAAACTTTGCAATATAAATAAAAGCAGAAGTTATATATAAGAATGTTTATAGAATAAAATGTGTATTTATTACTTTTTTACTTTATTATTAATTTAAATTTTGACAATTTTTATTGTTCTTATATTTTTATATATTCTTTAATTAAAATAATTAATTTGGTTATTATATCTTTTCTCTTTAAGTGTATTTTCAAATAATAATAAAATATTTTGATAGCGATATTGAACAAAAGAAAAAAAAGTAAAAAATTTATAATTAATAAATACTATCATAAATTTTGCGTTTAATTGATATTAACTGTTATATATAGTGCTTTCGAATTACAGTATTTTAAAATTAAATTAAATATTGTGATAAATAATTGACAAATGGTACTCACCACAAAATGCACTTGGAAAAAACACGTCGCCCATATATCTATGGCTTTGTCGCGTTTGCAAAGAAACAAAAGATCTCTCTCAATACCACTAGTTCTTCATTAGTAACGTAAATCCCATGGAGTGTTAATTTTTTCACGATCCACCATGCACTTGATTATAGATAGTCACCGCCCCTTACAACGAAAAGCACAAAGGGCTCACGAATTACACCCTCAATAGTCCTTATCGATCGCCGCGACCAGACACTCTTCTAACTTTCTCACGTTTCTTTACATACATAACAAACATAAGAATACATTTTTCAAATTTTATATCACGATAATATCTCTCGATTAATCTTTCTTCAACTAAATTTTTTTAATAAAAAAAAAAACGGCAGTTTTATCCTCTTTTTAAAGAAATCCACAAAATTTTACTTAAGCTCTTTGTTCGCGATTTATTTTTTGGTCTTCACATTTTTTCGATGTGTTAAATCGGGAGATCTTTTTAAAATATTACTTACTTTTTTACGTGATTGTAATTTTTTTTTATTTTCTAGAGATTTCCGAAATTTTCTTCTATTTATTTATCTTAGCCGTTTTGTTTTCCTGCACTAGTTTTAGTATACGTTGCACTTCATACACTCCGTGCGCTACCGTGATCGACCTGGATCTATCTCGTATCAAACTCGGCTACGACTACGACGCGCTGTAGGGCTGTGGAACTTTTTACTATAAAACGGAGCCGTCGAGCAAAGCGGCCGAAGCGGTACTCGGGAAGTCGGCTGGCTCCCTATTGTGTCAGGAAGGGGGGACCGTGGCGGCCAACAGAAACGTCCACCTGAATCGCACCGCGAACAGGTGTTTGCTTTCATATACGATGGGGGAACGAACGCGATGCGTATGCGTGTGTATTCAAACGAGTGCACACATAACTGACCCCTATCTTTGGAGCCCTACAGGGACTTGCGTCGACCTTCCCGGAGCATGGGAGCGCGAGTATTTCCGGCCTTCAAGTTTCTTCGAAGAAGATCTCTCGAGAAATAAAAAATTGAAAAGTGTATATGAGAAAAAAATAGATAATAATAAATAGAAAAAAAAATCAAATAAAAGGATGAAAGACAAGAATTAATTTATATAAACTGAGAAAAAAGAGAAAAAAAGAATTTTCTTTGATACTTGAAAGATTATAAAAGAGCAAAAATAGTCTCATACAATTTAATAATATGATAATAATAATAAATTTGATATATTTAATTTGAAAAATATGAATTGTATACAATCGAGATCGTTTCTAATAGAAGGTAACGATGTTCTACCAATAATAATTTAAATTAAGACTCTCTGGTGCAATATTATAACATCTTTCATTTCAATGTTTTTTTCTTTTAATCTCTCAATGTTTCTTAATAACACAAGTAGCAAGAAATTGCTAATACCGAGAACCGCATACTCAAGTAACGGCGAATAATGAATAAAATTACGCGACCACACAATTTTTTCGGTGTAGTGTGCAGTCAAATGTCACGTTCCTTTGACAGTTTACGATTTAATGTCGTGAGAAATGGTCGATGGCAAGTGGAACGAGACCCTGCGGCGCGTTTCGCTTATGGCATCACGACGCGTCTTTCACGGATCATCGATCTGTGAAATTGCAGGCGTACCTCGTTCCTCCTCTTGTTTCCCCCCTCATTGGAAAAAATTACTTTTATTATGCACGGTGCTTGCAGTTAATAAACATCGGTCCGTCTTAAATCCTTTCCACTTTGAACCAGTTTCTGTTATTGTGCGCGATTTACGCAGAATGACTCGCTAACGGTGCGTCCATCAGTTGACGATCACAGACCAAGCAATTTATTAAATATTTTTGTAAGTGCTCAATCATTGTAAATGTCTTCAAATGCTTGATTATTATAACGCAAATCGAGATTTATTATTTGTTTTGAAACAGATTATTTAATTTCGTGAAACATTACGTCCGATTGTTACAAATATTTCCACTCTTTTTATTTCTTTATTATTACATAGATCTTTTTTTTTTTGCATTTTAATTTACAGAAATAACATGTGCCTTTAATTTTTATTAGAAAACGTTTTAAAATTATATTTATAATAATTTTTCTTAAGTATTAGGATGTTGATATAAAATAATATATTTACTGTATTTTGATATTTTTCTACAAAAATGTTTTGCATGGAATTTTATCGTAGTATCGAGAACCACATCATATTAAAGAAAAATCGAAATTTCTTTTGTCGACTTTCATATAATATGTCCATCCAGTATAAGTGCATCGCGATATATATTGCATGCATGAAAATAAAAGAAGACGTATCGTTTCCCACGCGATCGCGTGGTAACTTTAGTAAGAGTTTGTTAATCACTGACTAAATGAATATCTATGAGTATTCGATCTGTCTAAGGACGACTAGTAGGGGATTTACGTGATTTTAGATTTATATCATTATATATATTTTTATTCAAGTTATTTAAACGCTATTTTTAATATTTTTGTTTGATGTATAATCTTTATATTTTATAATTTATCGATGACAAAAATAACACATGCTGTGAATGGACTTGATTTAGACGGATTTGGCCGCTGCGTATTTGACAAAGAAGCTGTCAAAATATATCATCTCTTTGTAATGATAGCCTTTTAACATATTATTAATTCAAATACTGAAATGCGATTTTGTTATGTCATTTATTAACAGTCATTTATTATTAACAGACAATTAATATATTTTAAAAAATAACAAGCTCTTCGAGACACACATATACACACATATAAATATCTGGCATACTATCTAACAATAAAAAAGCGCCAAAGATTGATCTTATCACTCGCGTAAAATTATACGGTGCCCGATATTGCAATGCCGACGCAAATAATATTTACTTGTACTTGAATATTGTTAATGATAAGAAGCTTTTGGTTGAGATTAAGCTTGAGATTAAGCACGCGCAGCGATTGATTAGCATCACGTGGAATCACGAATTAACACAAATTGTCATTTTCTCGTATTTCTTCACATCACCGGTGTTCCGTTCCATTGTATGAGAGCATCCTGCCATCTTTAATGCAGCGTGAAACAATAAATGGAAGAGATAGTACCTTGAATTCTATGTTGCTCAAGGTAACGCTCGAGTGATCTCACAGATATCGCCCGATTATTTCGGTAATTGAAAAGACAATAGTGCTTTTAGATCTTTCTCTTTTATAACAAAAAGCTAATAGAGGAAATAAGAAATTTTGTAAATTAAACTATGTTTTATTGTACATTAAATTTTAAATACCACTCAATCAGATATGTTATACAATGATAAAATTATTCATCAAAATAATAGTTTATATTTTCTTTAGGACATATAGAGTCAAATGTAAAACTTTTGAAGAGAATTGCGAAGAGGGTCAAAAAATTTATTTTTAAAAATAATTTATTTTTATTTTGTATAACAAATATGTATACTAACTTGGATCGAATGAGTTTCTCCAACGGCGTTGCTGCGATATCTGCGGCTTCCATAGTTGCAGCATCTGATACCCCGGAAGTTTCGTTTGCCCTGGTATCTACCGTCAACGTAGCGTGACTGCCACCGCAAGTAAAATATTGGATCTCGAAACTTTAACACATACAGGATAGGTGATATTTCTTTGGGACCTCGAGGTAAAGTGGGAAGGATACTATTTACATATTTGTTCGTGTTTAAAAATTTAGAAGTTAATTCTATCTCTCGACTATCCTTTCAATATACAATCTATATAATATTTCTGCATATAATTTTATATAGAGATTTAGAGATGATCACGTGAATAAAATAAAAAATCTAATAAAATAAAAGATGAAGAAATAAATAAAGCAAAATAAATGAAATATGTAAAATATATTCGTACCGTCGTTCTGCATGATAATTTCTTAGTAACTCTCGATTTGTATTGAAGAGCACACCGTGATGACCGAGGCAGAGAGTCACCCATATCGGTAGACTGGGTGTCTTCAAACGAGAACCTGGTTGTTTGCTTACATTACCATCGCCTTCGTGTATTAAAAATCCCACTTCGCTTCTCGTAAGAACGCCCCATTGTGGTACGGCCTTATTTCAAATTAATTGCATTATCACAATAAATATAATTATAAATACATATTTGTGAATGTGCTAAAAGATTAAATTAATTAATAAAACAATAAGCTTACATATGTATTTTCATCGCCAACGTGAAGTACTCCATTATGGATATGTGGTGAAACACGACCAGTTAAAAAAAAAATAACGATGCTGATTGGGCCTTCTTCTGAACATCCACCAAGAATCGATGCCTTTGAATCTTCTAAATCATTTTGCACTCTATGTGATTAAATATGTAAATACATTAATAAAAGTAATTGTCCAATTAAAGCAACTTTTATTCATTTTCAAATTTAAATAAAATGATAGTGATAAAAAAAATAAAGAAATAAATATCTTACTTTGAGAGACCTCTCGAGAGCACTGCGCTATATAAGAGTAACTTTGCACCAGGTCCGCCTTCGTCATGAAACTTAAAGTAAAATATATATAAATAAAGATATTTTTATGATAAAAATTCTTAATTAATTTTATTACAAAAAAATTGATGGTCTATTTGATAAAAAAGAAATTTAGAAGATAGATTTATAAATTTATTAAGATTGGAGCTTGATATAAAATTGATACACAATTTCTTTAATTAAGTAATGTCTGACATTTAATGCACCAAGTACCTACTCTTTAGTGTTTCCTACCGTAAGCATACTCACCAGGTATAAGTATCTCTTGATAAATATCTCCAGATCTTCCAAAGAGTTGAATTCGAAGAGGTGCAGCTAGAGTAAAGCAATCCTTTAACGAATATGTACTTGGATTTGATATAAATATTATAGAAAATAAATTGTTAATTACGCGATTCCAGAGACATATCCGTCACGCGAACTCGAGAGTATTCTTAACACACTTGGTGAAATACCAACGCTATAATTTGATAAACGCTGTTTTCTCGCACGTTAATTGTACGAGAAAGCATAGATTTCACCGCGTTACTTCTTTATACAATACAATAAATGCATTACTAAATTGTTTCATTAATTGAGAACATTAATTTTGTCACTTTTTCAGTTATATCTTAAATTAAATATAAGCTTAAATTTTTTATTGTCATTAATTTAATGTAAAAAGTGTACTATCTATAAACAATAATTAAGAATATTAAAATTGATAATTTACTAAATTATAAGTTATGCAATTTTTCTGATTATTTATCAGGAATTTTAGTTAATTATTGGCGCAAAAGGTCGTAAAAAGGGGAAGATATACCGTTTCTGTTAATCCGTCTTGAAAATACTGTACACTATGTTGAAGGTATGGTGTGTCCTGTGGTAAAGCCACCACGGCCTTTGGCACAGTGTTACTGACAACATTTACGCACGTGGAAACAGAGAAGCCACCGGCGGAACGCCAAATAATCTCCGATATCGCGGAAGTCAATACATCGATCTGTCGTTCGTATGAGGGTTTCAATAGACTGCGACCATAGAAGTTTATAAATAAGACTCTTCTCGTAATTTTTGGTTAAATTATAAATAAATAAATAAAATAAATATATAAATATGTATATCCAAGGCATAAAAAATTATTTGGCAAATAACATTTCGTGATATAAAATCATACCTGCTAATATAATAATTACATAACATATATGATGCTTCTGAAGGCACTTACGCATCGGGTCCTGCGTGTAAATCTTGTCTGTCGCATTTGAATAAAAAGTGCTTTAGCATGATAGCTTGCACCGCGGTGACGAGGCCTCTCGTTGTGTTCCTGGGAGTTCTTAATCCAAATGCCAAACTCTGGCCATACGGTCGTAAAGTTAACCCGGTCCTTGTCCATTCAATTTTAGGTGGGCTCGCGCAGGAACCGAAGACCAATGTTCTCAAAGCCTGCAATAGAAGGAAAATTCTTAATACAATGATAGATTATAGAGCACATAAATAATAAAAATACAATTTTTTGTAGAAATTAATTTTTATAAAAATTAAGTTTTTACATAAATGAAGAGATTTTGAAAAGTGTTATTTGTATTTGTATGTTATTGATTTTATTATATCCTTTTTTTTCTCTATCTCTTTATTTTTCATATAACGAAAGTTATATATTTTCACGGTTACCATGCATGTTTCTTCTTCGATAGGTTGTCCGCCAACCACCGGTATTTTTGGCAGAGTTCTCGTGTTACGTGGATAGAGTATTCTTTCTGAAACACATCAGAAAATATTTGTATTTAAGAAATAAAGCAAATCCTTAAATTAATCGCCTTTTTACACCTGGGTAGAGTTCGTCTGGTTCGGCCATGAGAGCAGCGCATCGGGCTGCTCGAGTCGATAGCAACATCTTGTTCGAAATATCCTTAACGCTGCGATATTAAGGGTACCGAAAAAAATATCAGTGGTTGATATTTTGCAATGCGTTTACTGGAAAAAAACTATTAATGTAAGCTGAGTTATATCAATCAGTTACATTCATAAATATTTTCAAGATTAATAATGTAAATTCTTCATATGTCATTCTTTTATATCTATATTATTATTTTTCAAATATTAAAATATAATAAAAAAATATTCAACACAAATATCTTTCTATTTCTTTTTTGTGCAATTAAAAATTTGATAATCTCTTTAATCGTAATTCATGATCTATTTTTTGATATTCGCGATATCTACGATATGCACGGCGTTGAAGAGCAAGAACTGATTCCAGACGAAGGCGACTTTCAGAATGACTCCGCGGCCAGTTGACACTCGATGGTACCACGTCCCCCGAGATATCGGATATCAATTGGGATTGTGCTGGAATCCGCGGGTTCCTTTATATAGAGCTTGGTATGCGGTGCTTATGCGTGCAGGCATTTCGCGAAATACGTCGCGGCGGGGCGTCGGGACAGATCGCGCACGAAAGGTGTCAATTTGAATGTCCGAAAGAGAAGACACGCCGGAGAGCGATAGACATGCCCTACTAATGTCTATTTGCCATATTGCAATTTCGAATTGAAATTTGAGTTTACTCGTGCTTTTGGTGTAACTAAAACATCTGAAACTCTCCTATCAAAAAAGAAGGAAAAAAAGCAAATCTAGATAAAAAAATTAAAAACAAGAAAAATAGAAAGAAAGAAAAAAAGGGAGAATAAAATTAAGAGAATAATAAACAAAAAATAAAAAAAGAGAAATTAAAAATAAGGAGGAAAAGATATAAAAAAATTAAGACAAAAGAGAAGGAAAAATAAGAAGAATTCTTTTTTCCTTTCCCTTCTTTTCCTAAAAATAAAAAAAAAAAAAATAAGAAAAGAAAAAAAAGAGAAAGAAGAAAGAAAAATTTTTGTTAAAGTGATCTCGAAGAGATGAAGTGTAAAATCCAGAAAGGGTCAAGAACCTTTTAAGTTTCTCTGCGGGATGGCTGACAAGAAGTAATAAAAACATTAGTCACGCCGTTGCATGTGGCTGGTTGCAAATTACCTAGATTTTTATGTTACGTGTGTTTCTGTTATATGGCAAATGCTTTAGAAGACGATGAAGTTTAACGCGATGCTGTTTATACACAAGCGCAGAATAATAAATGTGCTCAAGCTTCTAGACTTCTTGCGTGCATGTCGCGTGTAACATCGAACGGCATACAGAGGGCAAATCCGGGGGCAAGGTTCTTGTTTTCTTAAAATAGCTCGAATGATTTGATTTGTTACGAAAAGGCCTTGATGCGTCTGATGGAAAACTAATAAAGAGACATGAAAATGTGAATCAATGTACAAGGTTTTCAATCAAACTAGTTATATAATCTGCTTTTAATGCTTTAAAATAAAGTTTGAAGCTCCGGCTGAAATAAAAACGTGATTGCCATTTTGCATATTTATGTACATTATTAAAAATAATAATTTGTAGAGAAAATAGATCCTCATATGCCTTAAGATATCCATCATATTTTTAAACATAATAACATATTGTAAAATAAAAATAATTTGTAAAAAAATTCTGTATGTTTGGCAACAAGAAATTTTATGTAAATTCTAGAAAAATAAAATACATAGATGAAACTGTACATTCTTTCTCTACATTTTTATATTTTTTAAAAATATCATATTTTAATATCTCAAATTTTTATCTAATTTTATATTTATATTTTCATTTTTATGTGCATCTCTCCTTTTTATATATATTCTGTATTCTTTTTTTTTAAATTTATTAGCTAAATTTTTATTTCTATATTTATTTACATTTCTTGGTAGAAATTAAGATTTACGAGAATTTTAGAATTCTATTTTTTAAGACCTTCCAAGATAAAAGTTCTTCTCATGCAAATGTAATATATGGTCAATGCAAAAAATGCCCTGATCTTATAAGCGCTCGATTTTAGAAGCATGCTATAAAAAAAAACAAACATAGACCAACTGAATTTCAAGAGGATGGCAACGGAAGCCGTCATAAATCGGTCATTTTCAGACGATGTGGAGATGTATGTATCATTCGGCGCGGCCTTTCCACTACTTCGTAGTTCAAAAGAGATCGCGTGTTCGCGTGCAATCAAGATATCGTATTACGAATTCGCGCCGGAACGACCATCTGCATTCGGCGATTGCACACACACACAGGCACACACATGACAATATATCGCACCCCTAATTTACATTCGCAAGGTGCCTCTCGAGAAGGTTTACCTATCGATCTATTCGAGCGTTCACGCTCCTGCAGTGTACATGCTCTCTTATACGTTCTATAGAGTTATACCTATACTTGTATCCTTACCTCGGTTGAGCTGTGTTTTCTTCACGAAGAAAACAAGCTCAGGCTAAAACGAGAGAGAGCTAAAGTTTTAGTGCAAAGCATGTGCAGTACTCGATTAAGAGCTTTTAAAACAAAATGTGAATAAAAAGTATTGTTAATAAGAAAAATTATTATCTTTTTTAATTGTGCTGTTTTTTTATAATTGATTATTTTTTTTTGAGATTTATTTAATCATTTTTGCAATAATTATATTTTTGTGTGAAATTATTGATACAGAGTATAATGATATTTATCTAATATTAAAATACATTGATTTTTATATAATGAAATATATATTGACAGAGAGAAAAAAAAAATGGAAGTGTTTTTATCTCCAATTTTTCAATATTTTTGGCTTTAAATATAAACTATGTATTTAATAAAATTATTACGGTTTTGAATATAATTGTAATCGTATCTCTCCTTTATAGAATTGATTATTAATATTAATACATGTATATGTATAATAAATCGAAAGCTGTTTTTGGTTTAAATATATTCTTTTCTAAAGTCTAAAAATACGACATACCTCTGTCTCGAAGATAAGGGGGTAACTTGTCCTTGCGCATCTCCCTACAGTGTCGCTTCCCGCAGATGGGTGTTGTGTTTGCGGCTTCCTTCTCCTCTGGCACGTCCGACGTGGATTCTGTCATTTCTCGATTGTATATAGCACTTTTGTATTCTCATATAAAATTTAAATTTAAGCAACTCGTGCGGTTCACCGTTTTAAAAATCATCAATAAATATACGCGAATAAATCGTTATTAATAAACATTATCATATCTTATCTTATGTCAGCAATAATAACGCGTTGAGTTTGTTCGAAACGTTTCTTCCAGCCCGAAAATATATATAATCTTCTGTTTTATACATGAGATTTATATATGATCTATAGATTGACGCAGTTTGACATTCCATAAAATGTCATTCGTTTCCATCGAGTAATTGTTCTTTAACCGGTATGACTTCCACAAAAACGCGTTGATTCACTCGCTGCAGTATATACTCTCACACTTTCTCATTTTGTCTGTCGAAAACTGAGAGACGGAATGCAGGAAAAATAACGTGTTCACAGTTTCTCTGGGTGATTCTTTGACAATAAATACGAATTTTTATAATGTCTATACATAACAGTCTAAACGCGAAGCTTCGTATTCTGTAATCTTCAAGATGTCGATGATTTAAGTGTGCCTGTTATAGTTGAACAATTAAATCTCTCAAAAAATGTTTATTGGAAATATTCCTTTACTACGTGAATTTATTATTTTATAATGAATATGAAAAGAATATCATAATAATATTAAAAAATTTATCGAAATTTTTTTACATTCTTTTATAATTGAATTATATAATTGTTCCAAAAACATTGTCTCTTCCCCACTGCAATAATTTTAATTAAAACATTTTAATATATCTTGTGTTTCTATTTTTTAATTCTAAGCGTGTTGTTAATTAAAATATTAT